CCGGGAGCGGCCCCGAAGATGGAGGGGGATGGGTGATGGGCGGGTGGTCCCAGCCAGAGACCCAATCTCACCTGAAGCTGGACTCGCTGGGTTGGGGTCTTGGGGAGCTGATCTCTTTCCTGTGTGGGCGGCTCTTCTGGAAGCCGGGAGCGGCCCCGAAGATGGAGGGGGATGGGTGATGGGCGGGTGGTCCCAGCCGGGGACCCAATCTCACCTGAAGATGGGCTCGCTGGGTTGGGGTCTTGGAGGAGCTGATCTCTTTCCTGTGTGGGCGGCTCTTCTGGAAGCCAGGAGCGGCCCCGAAGATGGAGGGGGATGGGTGATGGGCGGGTGGTCCCAGCCAGAGACCCAATCTCACCTGAAGCTGGACTCGCTGGGTTGGGGTCTTGGGGAGCTGATCTCTTTCCTGTGTGGGCGGCTCTTCTGGAAGCCCGGAGCGGCCCCGAAGATGGAGGGGGATGGGTGATGGGCGGGTGGTCCCAGCCAGAGACCCAATCTCACCTGAAGCTGGGCTCGCTGGGTTGGGGTCTTGGCTGCAGTTTCAATAAAATAAACCTCAGTGGAGACAGTGGTAGAGATTTGGGCTTTTTAAGACTTTGAGCGTGCCCTGTTTTGAGGTACTGGCCCAATGTAACGATATCCACCCCCACACCTGTAGTTCTCCCCATAAACTTCATTTCACCTGTACAGAGTCTAGTGAATCTTGATTCCCACACCCATACCCCAAGGTTGATGTCAGTGCTCCCTTTGCTTCAAATTAAAATAACTCAGAGTCCATTAAAAAGAACTATTCTGAGCTGGTCATCGGGAACAAAATACCTATAATTGACAAAATCCTTAGTGCTTGATTGCTAAGGACAATGCCAATGAAATTCTGTGGCTATATGAAAGCATTGTATGAATTCATATTTTATTTAGCGCAAGACATGACTAATTCGATTTTTATTCAAGTTCTTATCTTTCACAGTTACATCAAACACCTTGAATCTAGAACATTCTTTTCTGACAGTGGTACATAATTAAAATTTGCATCAGGTTTTAATGAGAAGCATTTCAACTTTATAAAAGATTCCTTGAAGAATATATCACTCAGAACCCTGACTTCCTCCCTCATTCTTCGTCATCTTGTGCCAAGAGATCTGCAGAACATCCTGTCTCTGTTGAATGAGATCATGCACATCTACTGCCAAACTTTGGAAAGGCCAGTAGCTGTGTAGCCTCCATCTGTCAACAGCAAGGAAAAAGAATTAAGGATCACAAATCATTCATACAACTTTGCAAATCTTTCTTTGCAGGTAAGTTTTTGTGACAACACTAGTTAGAGAAATGGAATGATTCAAATAATTATCAAGTCTAGTAGATATTTTTAAATCATAAAGCTTATTTCAAACAATTACAGTGCCTACTTCATTCCCCACCCCATCTGACCTGTGCATTTTATACACAGTGATGGCATGGACTAAAGACCATATGGCTCCCAAGGCTGAAATTCACTGCAGTAGCAGCTGTTTTCTTTAGTTAAGAACTAGAAGAGATGGTCTAAAAAGGCCTGTTCTGCAGAATATGTTTAACAATGTAAAGATGTGTTGCATTTGTTTAATTATGTAGAGATGTGCTGCTGTTTCACCTTGCCTACTTAATATAAAGCTGAATGGCCAATAGCGAGGGAGTAAGTATAGGTGGGACTTCCAAGCAGGGAGTGTAAGTAGCAGGAAGAATTTAGGTAGGGGGAGGTGGGGAGAGAGAAAAAGAGTCATCGGGGAGAAGCCATGGGCCAGCTAGACATGCAGAGAAAGCAGGAAGGTAGAATGTACAGAATGAAAGATAAAAGCCCCAAACCAAAACAGATGACTAGAAACAGGCTAAAATAAGTGAAAAGAGCTAATGGGATAAGCCTGAGCTAAGCTTGCACATTCATAATTAAGTCCATGTGTCTTTATTTGGGAGCTGGTTGGTCCCCCCTCAAAAAAAATAAGGCCTGCCTACAAGATGGATTAAGGGGCTGAAGACACCTGCCACCAAGAATAACAACCTGGATTTGATCCCCAGGACCTACATGCTGAAAAGAGAGAACCAATTTCCATAAGTTGTCATCTGACCCGTGATCATAGCCTGTACCCATCCAGCACATGTGGCTCCCACAGAGGACCCGTTGAGTTCCTAGCACTCAAAGCAGCTGGTTTACAACTATTTGTAACTCTTTCTCCATAGGATCTGGCTTTCATGAACACCTGTGCGCTCTCTCTCTCTCTCTCTCTCTCTCTCTCTCTCTCTCTCTCTCTCTCTCTCTCTCTCTCTCTCTCACACACACACACACACACTTAAAAACAAAAGATAAAATATTTTTATAAAATGAAAAACATGTTTCAATAGTCTCATTAGTGATGACATTGCTTTGCAGATGAACTCTAGGATCAGCACCTCAGACAGAATACTGCTGAGTTATGAAACATAGGATACGTATGGGGTAAGTGTTATCGATTTGCTCTGATTTCCATTCACTGGGAAATGAATGTATGATAGCTGCCTCAAAATGTCTTGGAGCCGTGTAAAAGTAGAGACTGGGCCTGGAGGTCTGGGTTCTACCAATTACTTCTCCAATGTCATTCTTTTTAATAGCTTATTGACACCAAAGTGTAGAGGGGTCAACAAATATAGGAAGTAATTTATTCTAAGTGACTAGCTGATAACACAAGCCTTCTGCTGATTGGTTGTGTTCCTGAATGAAGCACTACCCAGTAAACCCTTCACTTTTTTGTTGGTCATCTTGTTGCACTGACTTTACACATCAGGATTGCTTGGGGTGAATGTCTTCCTCATTGACCAGTCGTCAGGAAACAGTCATATTCCCATTACCACTGCCATGTCTGTCTTGTGGCCAGCGTTGACATGACCACATGGATTAGCATCCTAAATCTAAACTTTTTACAAAATTCTTATGAATAAACAGACGTTTTGTTAATGTGGACCTCTGAACACGGGGCAGTCCACTGGGATGGCTGATTGGAGAGTGTGATGAGAAGCAGGGCTGTGGAAGCGTGATGGTGGACCCACCCTGAGCATAAGCCATTATGTTCATCTCTGGTGCTCCCGGGGGAACGTCAAACAAGAATGCATTTTAGAGTGGGCGACCAAATAACCATTGCCTGCTCCCAGTTTACAACGGTCCACAAGGAATCTGCATCTCACCACCGGGACATAATACTTTTTAAAAGTATATGGTTAGGGCTGGAGAGATGCTCAGTAGTTAGAGCACACACATCTCTTGCAAGGGACTCAGACTGAGCAGCTCACAGTGGCCCCTAACTCTTGTTCCAAGGAAATTAAACACCTCTGCCCTCCATGGGTGCATGTTCACATATAGTCAGACTTACACATCTTATACATAATTTAAAAACAGTCTTTAAAGGAATACAGTAGTGTGTCAGATTTCCCAAACTGTGGATTAGTCCTGAAGTATTTTTAAAAAATGGTCTTTAAAGGAATACAGTAGTGTGTCAGATTTCCCAAACTGTGGATTAGTCCTGAAGTATTTTTCTTTGAGACAGAATCCTGGACTAGCAGTCAACCTTTCTCACTTCTTTTAGGTCTTGTCCTCAACATGCACTTGAGACATGTTTTGTCATCTAAATTTTACTTATATACATCTCAAGACAGTGTTAGTGTTGTGAGAACCTGGTGAAATGTCTTGGAGATTCTCACCCACTAAAATGAGAAGGGAACATATCAGGATAAGTGTGGTTACACATGCCTGTATTCTCCACACTTGGAAAGTAGAGGCAAATGATCGTGAGTCTGAGGCAAGCCTCAGCTACTTCAAGTTTGGGGAGTTGTGATGAGGCTCACAAGCTCATGCTCATGTTTTCAAACCTTCGTTGATAATGCCAAGAAAGGCGTCTTTCACATTGCCAGTCTTCCTGTTATGATTGGACTTTGAGTTATTGAATTTAGACATTGGCATCTTATCCCAGAGTTGCTCGAAACAGCTGAAACGTTATTCTCTCCAGGAGAGGACCATGAGAAGCCCCTCCAGAGACCTCCCATCTGGTGAGGGGAGAGTGACCGGACGGGGAAAGGAGAGATGAGCTCACCTCCCAAAGCTGTTCTGCAGTTTCTCCTGTAGTGCTCTCCAGCCATGAGTGCCCAGTGAAGTCACTGGTGTTGTGCTCAGAAAAGTCATGAATCTGAAGGGCTTCTGAACATAATGCTGTAGTAATGTTTCCAATGAGTCTGCTCTGTCATCAAAGGAGCATTTGACACAGCAGGTGTCAGGGCTCGGCTTTGACATGCCCAGCTCTTTGAGGTAAAGGAAGCTGAAAGACATGAGGGGCCTTAGAATCAAAGTCTCCCCGGGCAGCTCCCATTTCTCCTGTGAAATCTCTCATCCACCTGAAAACAGGAGCCACCAGAAAGGAACAGCTAACTTTGATCCCACCCTTAGAGTCCATTGAGCAGGAAAGACTAAACCCTGTGTCAGCAACGAGGATTAAAGAGTGGCCCCACACCTAGACAGATCGTGTCTCAAGCCATCTTCTGTCCTTTGGTTCATTCCACTTCCAGGAGAATGAGAAATCATTGATCTTTGTGCCCATTCACCTCCCATGAAAAACCCTTAAAACCAGCTACCTCCCCATTCCCTACACTGCTATAGGAAGGTGTGTAATGTGTTCTGGGGAAGCCCTGTATACAGTGACCTTTGTATCTCTTCTCTTAATATGTCTATTATAAGTTCATTTAAGCAAACCTTCAGAAAACAGAGAGGAAATTTTCCTAACTCCTACCTAGACTTGCATAAGGAAAAAGAAAATTACAGGTCATATTCATAATAGAGAACAAAGGTGCTTCTTCAAGTTGTAACTCATTGGTAGATTACTTTGCAAGGACTCCCAGATGTCATGCTGCGCTAGTCATGGCCCAAGCAGGACACAAACTGCACTCCAGTTTCAATACAGGAGGTGCAAGGAATTAAGAGCTATCACTAAGATTGGTGAATCAAGAGACTGGCCAGTAAGAAGTCGAGAGCACGGTCGGAACCTGCTGTGATGCTGTGCCTTAGAGTTCTGGGGAAAGCTATCCATGGATGGAGTCCCACCAGAGACGCTCTGCTCCCAGGCGGTAGATGAAAGACTGACTGTGGTTGAGCTACACACTGCAGAAGCAGATGTTGGGAAAGCGCTCCTATATTGCCGAATGCTAGGGAAGATATCCACCCTCACAAGAGCCAGACGCTGGAGAAGACCAGCATCCTTCCTGTCTGCAGTGTCTCTTTACTGCTCTCTACTGACAAAATGAGTTAGTACTGTGACTGCTGACAAAGGGGCAAATGCCTAAAGGAACGTAAAGCTCTGTCTGCACAAAACAGATATTGAGGGGAAGTGGAGCTGAAGCAGAGAGGAGAGCAGGTAAACCGGTGAGTGACAATCATTCTTAATGCAGCCTATACGCTTGGGTGATGGTTTATCTTCATTATCAACTTGACTGAGTTCTGGAATCACCTGGGAGACACAGCATGGGGTGTGTCTGTGAAGGTGACTCCAGGGAAGTTTAACTGAGTTACATTTCACCCCAGATGTGGATAGATCCAACCCACGAGCTCCCATGTTTGTTGAATAAAAAGAGAAAAGTCAAAATCAAGGTGAGCCCCATCTCTTTCTGCTTCCTGACTGCACTTGCAGGGTGACCAGCCCCACCCTGCCCCCATGCTTCTCAACCTTCCTAACGCTGTGAAGCTCTAACACAGTTCCTCGTGTCATGGTGACCCCCAAACCATAAAACTGTTTTCATTGCTACTGTTGTGAATTGCAATGTAAATATCTGATATGCAGGATGTCAGATATGTGACCTCTAAAGGGGCCGTGACCCACAGGTTGAAAACTGCTGTATTATACTTCTCCTGCCAAGACGGGCAGTAGTATAAGCCTAAGTAAACCCTCTCTCATTCATGTTGCTTTTGCCAGGTATCTGTTTATAGCAACAAGAAAAGTAGTTAATATAACTCAGTGTCGTGCTTTTGGTCTCTGAAGTTCTCAGTTGACTTACTCCAGCTCCATGGCAATTCTTATATCTAACAGTCAGTTGGTATTTTCTGTAGTTACGACCTCGGAGGGCTCAAATGTTCACACCCTCCCTTCCTGGAAGCTGTCTCTGAGCGAGACTGAATCTATACTTTGTTCAGCATCTTTCTCCTTGTGGGTAGCACCAAACATTTTGGAGTTAGAAGAAACAGGACATATAGGCAATATCTCATTTGTCCCAACTGACTTTCTAGAGAAATACTGAGTGAATCTCAGAAGTAAACACACTTTTATGTTCTTTGCCTTTATTTTCTTTGCCTACAAGGGTAGCCATGTTTCTTCAGACAGTTTTATGAAAAGGTTCAGTGATATTGAGGATAACTGAGACATCCTCATTCTGAATTATAAAGACCCTGAATGAAATGATAGACTCTAGATATCCCCTATGCGGAAGAAATTAGCAATAGGGTGGGAGGATGGAGGGAATGAGGGGGTTGGGAGGAGGGGAGGGAGAGGGAACTGGGATTGACATGTAAAACAAGCTATTTAAAATAAAAAAAAAGTTAAAAACACCCTGACTATATTACAGTTTGTTTCTTTAGTCAAGGTAAGGTTCAAAATAGTATAAACAATACAAATTCATGTTTATGATACAATAAAATTTGTACAGATTAAAAAAGATTGCAGTTTCAAAGTACCTCGTTACAGTTGGGAAAGTAAGGTGTTTAAAAATCTGTTTCATTGATACAATGTGTTACATATGGAGAAGTGTGTTATGTTTGGCATTAAGTTTCTAGAGTCCTTTATTCCATTCACTCAATGACCCTACCTATCATAACTATCCCTCAGAGGATTTGGAAAATAGGCCTGTATGCACAAGCCAGTCCACTCAGAACTGCTTATCTATTGGGGTAGCGGCAAATCTCCCACTTAAGTAGCTGTGAACCAAGAAAAGCCATGTGTGTCTGTGGGTCCATAAGACCATCTGCAGGTTGAACAATGTGTTACAAGAGTTGACAAATCTCAGCAAAGCTCTAATGTCTGTTCTTATTGTCACTGAAGCTGACAGGTCCAGACCGAAACCAGACAGAGAAAACGAGAACCTACTACTGCCGCTTTATTAGACCAGCCCCTTAGATGCCCCTTGTGCGTTAGCGTGTCTGTTGGCGCCTTGCAACCCATTTATCCCTCTTCTGTGATGTTTGTTCCCTGAGGCTTAGGTGGTGGAGCTGTGTCCCACGTGTATTAGCTAGGTTGTGATTTCCCACACGTAGCTGTTGTCTTGAGCTTGACCAGTGTGGTTTTCAGTGATAGCTTTCATGAAGAGATTATTTGATGAGGGATGGGAGCTACAGTTGCTTGTCAGTATAAGAATGAACATCTAGAATGCAGCTAGGAATCCTGCTGGTCTAGTGGTGGTAGCAGGCTCTTCTCTAAGATCCATGCTCTCACT